AGATCTGGACTCTCTCTGCGAAGACCTTTGGCTCAGTGTCCTCCCCAGGATCCTGGCCAGGCACCTGCAGCCCTCTGTGAGCTGACCACCCGTGGCTCCTGTGTCTGTCCCTGGAGCAGGAACTGCAGGTCAAGGTCCAGCCCCATCCTCTGCTCCCCTAAGGCCAGCCCCTGGAGTAGAGAGCCGCAGCACTGAGGGCTGAGGAGCCGGACTCCATCAGACTCAGGGATGAATTCTGGCTGGTGACATCTTCCCTCGGCCTGAGTCCTACCTGTGCACCTCTTCTAGCACCATGGTGAGGTGTGAAGGAGAGAGACATGGAGCCCAGATCGCAGTCAGCACCAGTGACTGCGAACCCCAATGGGCTACCCTCCCAGCACTCAGACGCCCCTGAAAAGATGGGGCTGGCAACCTCCATCATCACTGGAACCCATGGCTGCCCTTGGTGCTGAGGAGGAGGAGGAGGGGTGCTGCCCAAGGTCAGCTGGCCTTGTGGACAGGGCTGGATGCTCTCCTGAGACACCCTCCCGCCTCCCACCCAACAGCATCTGGGCCTCCCCTCCCTCCTGGGGCTGGTGAGCCACCAGGCTTGGGGGAGCACTGGGAGGGGCTGAGGTCCCTGGGGATGAGCAAGGGCTCTTCCCATCCCCACTCTGGGAGGCGTGAGGGTCTGTTGGACACCCAGTGTGTCGGGCCCACTTGAATCTCTAGCAAACCTTCCCAACCTCCTTATCAAACGCCGTGTGACAGCGATCTGCACAGCCCCGGGAGCAGAAGCACATGGTCGTGGGTATGCAGTGGAAGCAAAGGCCCCTTGCCCTCTCCCCAGGGCAATGGCTTCACTTCTCATGCTCTTACCTGGAAATATAACACGGCCACACTGCACTGTGTCCGCCCCTGTACCGCATCTGGGCCATCATTCCAAGACCCCAGTTCCCACTGCCACCCACCCACGATCACCAAGGATAAAGTTTGAGAGTCGGCTGTTTCTCATGCCACTGCCAGGAGTTGGTCCTCTTATGAATACCCTGGGACCAAGTCTTCCTGGCCTCCAGTAGCAGGCTCTGAGGACTGTGCTCTTTCCTAAAGACTGGACAGAAGAAGGCAGAGATGACCATGGGCCCTGGGCTCAGATGGACTTCCTGTGTGGTTTTGAGGTGCCTCCCTGGGGAGGAGGGCTCCTCAATGGCACCAGCATGTTGGGGGCGGGGGTTCCACATGCCCAGTGCAGGAACCTGACCACTCCAGCCTCCCTGAAATATTACCACACAGGGTCTGACTGGAGGCTGAGCTCCAGCAATTAATCCCGGGGAGGCTCCGCTCAATTGCAGGAGGTTTTTTTCTCTTTTGCTCCCTTGGCCTAGATTTCCCTGGGGACAGCTCTGATCTGCCGCTGCGGGCCTGGTAAATTAAATGTTAAAAAAATCCCACAATGACTTTAATCAATCCAGAGATGGCAGATGACCCCCTCCCAGAAGGCTCAGTACACTGGAGGGATACCCGCGGCTCTGCTAGCAGACAGAGTGGAAGACTAGGAGGGCAGGAAGCTTCCTCCCAGGCCCCTGCGGGGGAGGAGGAGAGCCCCAGGAAAATCCAGACCAGGGGAGCTGACAGGAGGGTCTGGGCAGGGCCTCTGGTGCCTTTGTAATCTTGCCAGCGATCTCTTTCCCAGGCCAGCGGTGTCAGTGCCATGGCCTCTCTCCTGATTCGAAGCCTGGATAGGGGCTAGGCTGGTGTAAATTGCAAATAAAGTGTTCCTGAGCAGCCTGTTGGGAGACACCGGAATCGCTGGGCTCCGGTCCTTCAGTTGCCACTGGGGGGAATCGGGGAAGGACCCCGAGAGCCTGAAGGTCTTTGGCTTTGGTGGAGCAGGTGGCAGGCGATCCCCGTCTTTCCCAGGGTGCGCCGGCTTCTGAGCGGGTCCTTTCCTTGCCTGCTTCCCTTTCAGGTCCACTCCAATGCTCATCTCCCCCGGGGCCATTTCCCGACACCCTCTAGTTCCCAAAGACTTTCCCCAATGGGCCTGGGAAATTTAGATGACCCTCTCTCGCTGCTTTGCCAGCTTCTCCCTGGTGTCCTGCCACCGCACACCAGGCCGGGCGTGCCGCACCATAGGATAGAGGGATCCAGGCTTGAGTCTGAGTCTGGGCAGAGCCTGCATCTGCCCGGAGTTCCTGACTCTGAAAGTAAATTTGGTTGCGCCCTGCGGTCAGCCAGAATCTCCCACTCCGAGAGAAGTCCCAGGAGTGCCGGAGGCATCGGATCCGGGCCAGAGAAGGCCGCTGGAAAAGGCAGAATTGGGGACCCAGAGTGGAGGCGCGGGGCCGGCGCGTCCTGCCACTGGCGTTTCGGGGCCCACCGGCCAAGGTTGGGCGCGGGATGGGGCTGAGAGCCGCTCAGGCAGGGGTGTCCTGGAGCTTGCAGGGTGAGGAGCACACGGTCATTTGGCTCCATTAAACGTCTTCAGGGACCGGGACCCCAAGGCGCGAAGTCTCCCGGACAGATTGGAGGGGAGATGGCTGGGATTATGCCCCCTACCGGCGGAGGTTTCGCGGAGCCACGCTCAGTAGCGCTGCCCCTGTCGAGCTCCGCGACCCCCCATCCTCCGCTCCGCAGCGGGCGGGGCCCCTCCCCCCTCCGGTCCGCGAGTCCGGCTCGCCGCCTGGGCGGAGGGGGCGCTGTAGGCACGGGCGGGCGGGGCCGGAGCGCGGGGGCGCGCGGCGCGGAGCGAGCGCAGGGCCCGGGGCGCGGGCCGCCGAGGACTGGGGGCCTGGTGGGCTGCCTGCGCCGTGCGGGGCGCGGCGACGGCGGGCGCGCGGCCAGTGAGCGCGCGGGCGGGGCGGCGGCGACGGCGGGAGGCGCTCGGGGCCGCTCCCCGCGCTCCGCTCCTCCATGGCGCTGCCCGGGCCGCCCGAGCCGCCCCGCGGCGCGCCCCGCAAAGCTCCCAGCCTGCTGGAGATGGGGGCGCTCTGTCTGGACTCGGAGATCATCCTGGGTTTCACCAGCCACCTCCTGCGGCGGCGAGGCAAGGTGAGGGCCGGCGAGGCTGGGTTAGCGGCGGAGGCGCTGTCCCGCGACTTTGCGGCGCGGCTCCAGCGCTCAGGGTGCGGCGCGTGGAAGAGGCGGCAGGTCCCGGCGCACTTTCCTCGGTTGGTGCCGCCCGCTTCTCTCTCCTGACGGGACCGAGCCCGAGGCTATCAGCCAGGGCGGGGAGCGCAGAGCAGGGACCCTGGTCTCACCTTGCGCCTTGCTGGGGTGGGGGAGGCAGCGGTTCCAAGGGTCCCTGGTTGATTCTGAGTCCATAAGGTGACTCCTGGCTCTTGCGTCCACCTCAGGGTTCTTCAGGACTGTCTGGGCTCCCTCGCAGAACCCAGTGTAAGGTGAGCGCGTGTGCTTCCCGAAGAGCCTTGGGATGCGGTGAAGTTTCGGGTGTGGCTGGCAGTAGGCGCTGCACCGAGGGCTCCTGGCGTTGTTTCTGCGGGGTCCGTGAGAGGAGTGCTTGTGTGTGCTTGTGGATCTGGAGGATGTGCGAGCCGCGCTTCCTAGGCCCGGGTGTGTGTCCCAGGGCAATAGAGGGGCGGTGCTGTCTGCAGGCCCTGGGGGTGGGGTAGGGAATGGTGTCCGGGGTACCCAGATCCCGGGGTGGGGTGACGTCTTCTTTAGTGAGGCTGTGATTAGCCGGGGGAGGAGTTTCCAGTCCCCCAGGTGTGTGGAAAGGGGCCGGCGCTGTGGGGTTACAGAGGCAGATCCGGGAGCCCCTGCCCACTTTATTCCTCACTTCCCGCAGCATTAGCAAACCCCTCAGTCCACTGACGACCTAGAAAACCATGAGGATCACCTACCCCACTTTGTTGGGGAGTGTGTAGAGTGGAGTAAAGGGGGAAGTTTAAGTAAAGGGGGATGGGCTAAGCAGAAAGGAAAGGTCGATTTGAAGGCTCAGTCCTGCGACTGTGGGCATGAGAGGCGGCAGGCCGGGGTCTCGGCTGGATCACGCTAGCTCTGTAGTCCTGGCCTCGGAGGTGCGCCTCCCGCCCGGATCATCTGTGTGGCGTGGTGTTTCCGCGCCTTTGAAGCCGCGTGCGCACGGAGACCGGCAGGGGGCGCTTGCGTCACGGGGAGCCCAGCCACCGCGGCCGCCTAGCCAGACCTGAGGTTTTAGACTAACCCAGAGAAGGGAACAGAATCGCCTGCGACCTCGGGTGGCGGCGACACTTGGTGTTGGGCTTGGGCGGGAGCAACTGGTCGCCAGGGAAGAGGGAGCGACCTCCCAGCCGGAGACAAACAGGCAATTAATTCCGGAGCTAAGTTCCCATCTGCCAGGCCTGCTGACAACAGGTCTCGCGCACACCCCCAGGGCCATCCGCTACGCTTCCTCTAGTTTCCCGGCGGCAGGGCTTGCACACCCACTTTCAGGCACATGCACAGCTGCAGACACGCGTGCCGCTTGCAGACACGCCAAGACACAGATACCCGCCCGGGCACTTCCTGAGGCGCAGATCGCGGCGACACTCACCCAAGAGAGGCAGTTATACCAAAGGGTGGCCAGCCACACACAAAGTGCGCTGGGAAAGCGATTGGCAGCTTGGGGCACAGGGACCAGTCCCTTCTTTGTCTCACTTGGCTGTGTGGCTTCGGGCAAGACCCTCCCCTCCGTGGCCTGTTTCCTGCCTGCCAAGAGTGAGAAGTGGATGGGTGCCTTGCAAAAGGCGCGCAGACCTGGACGTCCCAGGAGCGTAGCTGGAGGCGCATGCGCGCGCGTAACTTGAGCCTCTCCGCGACCCCCAGCGCCCCTCCCCCGGCTGGTGCTCACCTTACAGGTTGGGTCCTTGGAGTGGGAGGGGCCGCGCGTGGAGGCAGGATCCCCCCTCCCGCACGCTCTGTGCAGCAATAGGTAGGGGGCGGCGCTCCGGCTCCCCGCCCCGTACAGCCCGTCCGGCGCCCCGCCCCCGGCCCGCCCCGGCCCAGCCCGCCCGAGTGTACGACCGCCGCTGCCACCGCACGCTAGCCGCCACTTGCCCGCGCCGCCAACTTCGGAGCGGCGGGCAGGGCCATGGGGGCGCCCCCGGGCCGGATCACGTAGCTGTGGCGCCCCTAGAGCCAGCGCTGCCCCTCCTGCGTCCCAGTCATGGGCGGCCGCGGCGCCCCAATGTGCGCAGCGCAGCCCGCGGTACGCGCGGCCGGGTCCGGAGCGGGCAACCAGCGGTGGGCGGCGGGGACAGGCGGGCACCCAGCACGGAATACGGGACGCCTAGGAGGCTGGATGGGTGGCGGCGCCCTCTGGGGGTCGGGCCTGGAGCCGGGCGCGGCAGGACGCCGGCCTCCTGCTGGGGCTGCCGCACTCGGGACCTCCGCGGTGCGGGGAGAGGGTGGGCTCCACGTTCGGTCCAGCGCTCTAACTTTGGCGAGAGGGTCGCTCTACGGCCTGGCGGGCCAGGAACTGAGTCGCCGGTGAGGGCTTCTGTAGTGGCTCCGCCCAGCAGCCCAGCTAACTGTCTCCTTTCTCCCTCATCTACTATAGGTGGCCGAGAGTGGCCCGGCCCGGGAGCCTCTGCCGCTGCTGGAAGTGCCCCCACGCAAGAGGCTGCCCTCGGGGCCAGACCAGGACCCATGTGGCAGCCGCCCGGCGCCCGAGGGCGCCGGGGCCGGTGCAGAGCAAAGCCACTCGACCAGCGGGGGTGGCTGGTGTCGACACTGCCACACGAAGCTCGTGGAGCTCAAACGACAGGCATGGAAGCTGGTCAGTGGACCTGGGACGCCCATCCGGGTAAGCGATCCCTCCCCAAGCTGTTCCCTCTGTGGAGCTTGGGGGACCTTGCGGCTTGGAGGGAGGCAGGGTTCCACACCAGGTTTGTTTTCATTTGCCCCTCCTGGGCCTCAGTTTCCCTGTCTGTAACACCATGTATGAGCTGGGGCTGCTCATTCTAAGGGGGAGCTGTGTGGGCCAGAGAGAGTTGGGCGTGGGTTTCTTTCCTAGCCATAGATGTCCCACAGCTGGAACCTCTCTGTTTGGGAGGGGGAGGAGAGAGAGCCTGCTGGCAGGGACTCCACCCAGGGCAGGACAGCTCCTGCCCTGCCAGCAGCTAGAGGTTACTTGGTGCAGTGTGGCCCTGGGGGCACCTGGGCCCGCAGCCAGGTGAGTCAGGTGTTGGGAGGGCATGGAGGCTGAGATGGACAATCCCTCCTCCCCCCACAGCTTGGTTCTTGCCTGCCGCTCACCGGGTGTCATGGGTACAATCTGTGTGTTCCTCTCATCTGGGACTCTGCCTCTCAGGCCAGGGCAACCCATGTGGGAAGTGAGCTGCTGGTTCTGGCTTTCCCAGGCTGCACTGGTGCTTGTGGGGAGAGGGTTCCACTGGGCTTTCCGGCCAGTGGGCTTGCCCCCCGCCTGGAAGGAGCTGGCTCCATTGTTCCAGGGAACAATGCGCCCTGGAAGTCTGCAGGCCAGGGAGGTGGGGGTCTCCAGAGGAAGCTGAGAGCCTGACCTTCAGTCTTTTCGAAGAAGTTTCTGGGAAGTCCACATAATCCTCATTGAATCTAAATATAGTTCTTCACAGAGACCTGTGTAGTCTGGGGTGTGACAGCAGTGGAGAGAGACAGGACCCTGTGTCCTTCTGGGCCAGGGCAGGACGAGGCAGGAGCCAGGCTGGTTTCTGTCCTGGGTGCCCTCTCTAGGCCTCGAGGGGTCAGCCAGGGGTGGGATGCTGCTGCTTCTTTCTGTGGCCCTGGGGAGGGGGACCTGTGGGCCTACCCTGGGTGTGGCTGGACACTGCAGTGTCCACTGCCCTGAGCAGGCTGCAGCCTTTGCCAGGCTCTGTGCCCCAGATGGTCTGGATCCAGCCAGCAGGCAGCAGGGACCTTTGAGGATCCCAGAGAGGGCCATTTGGGATAGGGTCCTGAGGGCTTCAGGAAACCTAGGCCAGAGAGGCTTTAGTAACTGACCTGGTCTCCCTCTCTTGCAGTGGGCTTTGCCTATTGCCACTGCCTAGGCCCAAAACATGGTCCTTGGCCAGTCAAGAACCTGGTCTGGCTGGCCACAGGTGGGCTGGGGGTGCTAGCCCTGGTCCAGTCTCTGATAGATCCCTCATCTAAGGGGAACCTCCCTCATCTGTTTCTGCAGACAACTAGTCAGCAAAGCCTCTGACCACTCATCTCCATGTTCCCTGAGCTTGGCCTTTGACACTGGCCAGTCCTCATCAGTGCCTCTGGCTTGGCTTTTAGGAACTCTTGCTTTGGGTGTCCTTGTTTGATCTTGGTGGGGGGAGGGAGGGAGGTGGTGAAGGGGCAGCCTGGTGGGTTGCCTTGAGCTGGGGCTCCCTAAACCGGCCTCAGGGCCCTGCCAGGGCTTATCTCCTCTGGCTCCTCAAAGCCCTCATGCCAGCAGACGGCTCCCGTAGGCAGGCTTGTTGAGAGCTCTTGGCTTTGATTTCCCATCTGTAACATGGGGCTTCCTTTGTGCCTGTGATTTCACGGGTGTGGCGGGGCAGGGTAAGCCTTATACCCCAGCTACTGACGAGACACAGGCTTGGGAATCATTCTGTGCCTGGGTCTTCGGGGGCCCACGGGTGTTGGCATAGTGGCTGGGGCCTTGCTGGCTGGCTTTCGGCCTGCGTTGAAGGCCTGCCTCCCTTTGCCATGGTGTGGCCTTTTCTCCCTGCACCTCCTTGGTTTCCTTGTCTGGGCCTGCAGGGACCTCATGTATAGGACTGTGCCCTCGGCCCATTTTGAGCCTCATACCCTCTCTGGGTACCAAGTGGAGGGCATGCTCTCTTTCAGCCCAGGTTGGAGCTGATCTGAGAAGGGCCTTGGGCCCTGGATGTGGAGAGGCAGTCTCTAGGATGGCCCCCACTGTGCCACCTCTCCCAGGCCTCATGTCCCAGGTGACTGCTTCAGGATCCTGCTTGGCCTGGGGTCCACCTGTTGACTGGCCTCCTGTGGCCTCCGTGGGCCTTTTCTGGCCCTCGGAACCTCATGCCCCCTCCTCCCAGACCCCCAGCCTCCCTGGGCAGAAGGCCCTGCTGTCATGCTGCTCTGATGTTCTGCGCCTCTTCCCAGGTATCCCGGCCTGTGAGGATCCCTGAGGGTCTTGCGGCACAGTGACCACCACTTGTAGGCTGAAGCCAGGCCATTCCTCTTCCTGCCACACCTGAGCTGTTACAGAGAAGTGGTCCCCAGGTTCCACCACACCCCTTTCTTTGCCTCCATCCCAGTCGAGGGTGCCACCCCCAAGCAGTAGTTCTGCCAGGAGAGGCGTGGGGTCCAGGTGCCTTGAAAATGTTTGTTGAATGACTGAGTGGCCAGCACAGTGGGGGCACAGCCAGCCACACCTCATGTGGTCACCTTGAGGCTAAATTCTGCTTCTGTGTTCCCCAAGGTGACAACTGCTATGGAGGGTGGCAATCCCTCTGCCCGAGGAAGGATCACACCCCGCTGCAAGGGGGTGGGGTCCTCCCAGCTGCTGCCCAGATGTGTTATTTAGAGGTGGCGACTTCTCCAAAGTCCTGATGACATTTGAAATATCCATATCAGTGCTTAGTTGCTGATCGCCCTGGTGGGGACATGATCTGTTCTCATGTAGCTCCCCAGGTCCTGAGGGGGCTCATCTCTGCAGGGTCTCCTACTCTGCCTCCCAAGGGCTCCAGTCCCCTGTGGGCACTGGAATTGCCCACCGGTGTGGTAGTCCCTGCCCCTGGCCTGGTACTGTGTGTTTGATGTCCAGGTTTTCTCCAAGCAGGACAGTGAGCAAGGCCACTGGGGGCTCCTGTCCCTGTGCAGCTCAGCATACTGTGCCCTGGCTTGGGTGGCCCCTGTACACAGGGAGCCAGTCCTCAGGGGTCAGGGATCTGGAGCCTCTTGCTCTCCTGTGGCCAGGCCACTGTGGCCTGACTAGGGTCTGTTTTGCCTCAGTGGGCCTTGATCTTAGACTCCGGTGAGGTGTGGAGGGGTCCAGCTCTCCATTCCTCTGTCACTTCACTCAGGATATCTTCAGCCCTCTGGATAGATGGGGAGTGTCTGTTTCCACAACCCCCATGTCTAGTGACACTGTGATTTGGGAGTCCTGAGTCTGTGGGTTGTGGTCCTGTGGAGGGCTGGCTTTGACTCATTTGATTTGGAAGTTTGCCCCCCAGGGTCAGATCTGTGCCTCCTCCCCCAGCTATGGGCTGCTGCCCTGGTTGTCTGGAGCATGGCCAGAGCTCCACCCGCTTTGGGGCCACCGCTGTGCTGCTGTGCTGCTGTGCTGGCGACCTGTGCCAGCCAGACGGTGTGTGCCTGGGGCTATGTAGGGCGGGGTCCTGGCGCCAGAAGTGGTTCCCAGCCCAGCCAGGTGTCAGCCCAGCCCGCGGCAGCCAGGGGAGGTGTGTGAGGGCCAGGCTTCCTGGGCTTGGCAGGCCAAGGACAGGGTGCATCAGCCTAAAGGGACCTGCTCCTGAGCTGGACTTGTAGGGACAGAGGCTCCGGGATGCTGAGGGGGACCGGTAGGGACTGGGAGGAGGTTGACCAGCCCCAGCCTCACTGTAGAGCCCCCATGAAGCCCTGGCAGCCCCTCCCCGCCCCGGGCTGGCTTTCTGTCCCTGCTCCTAGGTTTCCTTTGGCTTAGTATGGCTGGGACCAGAGCCGTCCTCGTGTCTGTCTTACTTGTGCTGCTGGCCTGGAGTTCCAGGGATTGGGTGGCCTTTGGGGAAGGGCTTGAGCTGAAGGGGCATGAGCGTTTGCGCTGGGGATACCACCTGGGAGCAGAGGTGGAGCCTGGGCAGGGGGCTGTGGAGCACATGCCTTGGGGGAGGGAATTGCTCAACGAGAGTCTGGCTGTGTCCAGACTGGGGCTGGGCGGTACTGGATGTGGTCCCCGGCCTCACTCTCTGCTGAGGGCTAGAGGGATGGAGGAGGCTGGCTGGAGCTCACCTTCATACCCGGGCTGCTCAGTCATGGCTGGAGCTCACTCTTGTACCTGGGCTGCTCAGTCAAGCTGGAGGGGTTTGGGATGGTTTGGAGCAGGCCAGGGAAGGAGTCTGGGGCCTTCCCAAGCCGCCCTCCTGTGTGCCCGCAGGGTCTCATACTTGGAGTCAGAAGAGCTGGTGTGTGTCTTAAAGGCACAGAGAGCAGAGGCCTTCCAGGAGGCTCACAGCAAACCTCTTCAACTCTGGAAACCACATGAGGCTTTTCTGTGTCCCTTCTGGGAACAGATGACTCCTGTGTTTCAGCGGTGACTGTCTCCGTGTCCTGGTTTTGTTTTTGATTTACACTGTGTAATTCTTGGAAACCACAGCACAGTCTTCGTGCAAGATGGAGCGGGCTGTGAGTAGCTAGTGTAGAAGTGCACTGAGTGCTCACACCTGTCTGGCCCTGGGGAATGGGAGCCTGTGAGGGGTGGGGCCGGAGGCTGGGCTGTGCCCTGGGGGTTCCTGCTGGCAGCTGGGCTGGGAGGTCTGGCCACACCTGCCACTGAGCTCTGGTTTGAATTTCTACTGAGGCAAATGCTGTGCCCAAGGACTCCCCTGGGCAGGTGGAGCCTGGGGTGGGACCCAAAGGCCTCAGTTTGCCCATCTGTGAGCAGGGTGTTAAACATGGTGGAGTTGTTACTCGTGTTCCTCCAAGGGCCACTTTCCCCCGGGGTGTCACTCTCGTGCTTTTGCAGATGGACACCCTGAGCTGTGTCCACCTTTCCAGGGCAGCACCTGTCAGGAGCAGCTCCTTGACCTGAGCTGGACCTGAGCTGGCTGCAGGGTGCCTCAGAGCTCTGTGGCAGGGCTCCCAGTCATGTCTGCT